AGTTAATTCTTATGTGAATTGCACATGGGTTTGCAGATGGTTTGTGTGATCAACCCCTTGGAATTCCCTCTATCTCGGCCCCATTGGAAAATACTTCAGCGCGGCGGAGATACTTAGAATGCCGGTCAGGGAGGCGCAAAGCCACCCCTTTAGATAGTGCGAGAGTTGAAAGCGACACTGGGCTTTATTTCTGAATCATGCGGTAAACCTCATCCATATATTTTAATGTACTACAACCCCCAGACAACTTATCTGTTTAACTGTATTATAAATTATCATTCCATTTGCCGACAATTTTCTTTCACACAACATCGCAGGGTGACTCTTTTTTGCTTTCTACATTTCGTGGCGTCTCTACTTGAAATTTATTTATGCACATGAGCCAAATTTAGGGTCGCTCCTATCCGCCAAACACTTGCTCTCCATCCGAAATACATTTCCCCTCGAGAGAGACTCTCGCAGGGGCGGAAAAACTGATGAATTTCAAAATTTTCTCCCACGCCATTCGCCTTATATTTAATGTTAATTCATCAAAAGCATTCCATGTCTCGGGGCAAATGTGATGTGGCGAAAAAAGTCGAGGGATAACAGCAGAAATTTTCTGCACCTTTACCCAAAACTGTGTTTTCTCTGTGGCCTGCGTTGGCTCTCAGCAAAAAGCAGCATAATGCTCAGGAAGGAGGAAAGGAAATGTTGATATGTGAGAAAAATGTCAAGGAGGAGATAATATGTCTTCAATCTGTACACCACTTCCTCGCTGCTTGCTTTTTAGACTTATCACAATCTAATCCTGGTATTTCTGTCTTTCTTTTCTAGTTTTGTCTTCGGAAAATGATCTTAAAAATTCTTAGCGAATTGTGAGGTTATGAAATCGACTGAAAAAATCTTCTTGAACTAATCTCAATCCTTTCAAATCTAAGAAATCAGTAAATACAGCGAATATTGCAATATTTCCTAAGCTTTTTATCAACCATGAATTTTTTTTACATAATAAAAATGTTCAATTTTGCTGAGAAAAAGCGAAATATTCTTAGCTTTAACAAAAATTTGATGATTTTGAGGGTTTTTTAATCATCAAAATCCATTTGAAATCAATAACATAACCTAGAAAATCAATAAAAAAAATTTTATTCAGCTTTTGCAATGCAAATATTCCAAATATTTCACCACTTTCACTTAATCACCATAATATCTGCCCCTTGAAAGATGTTTAGGTAATTAATATTTGCGGAAATTCCTAATGCAATTCACATTATCTCACAGAATTAATTAATGTGTTTCCACCGAAGACAAATGTTTCTTTTTCTCTGGACCGAAGAAAAAACATCCCCTTCAGCCGAGAATTTTGTATGTTTTTCCGAGTTCATTTTGCCCAGCATCACTTTGTGAATTAAATCAACGGATTTAAGTCCCACCATTTGCATGAGCAGATCAATATTTATTCAGAATTTGTGGGCCTTCGATCAGTTATTTATTTCGCTGCCCTCTCTTTGCCACCCATTGCAAAAATCCACCCCACGAGTGGGGATCATAAATTTGCACGGGAAAAAATTATTGGGATTTTTTGAGGGATTATTTCATGAATATATTTCACATTGAATAAAGCCTTCTGACCAGTTGGCTGGGGGTGAAATAAAAGCCGGAGCAACAATGTTAAGGGTTGTTCAATGCTCACAAAAGATGAAGCACAATTAAATTCATGAGCATAAAATACATAATATGCTTTCTCCACACATGCTCGAAAAAAAAAATCTACTCCAAAGTGGAGCAAAACAGTCACAAGTGACTTTTAAAATACGCCCGCGATGAAGCACTCAGCCATAAATGTAAATTGACAGTAGAGTGGTTTAGCATAAATCCCATGCTATATCATTTTTTTTTGTCAATTGCATTAAAATCCTTTCCCTGGGAAAAAAAAGCGCCGCGGCCAAAATGTACGAGCGAAATTAAACAGTTTCCGGGATTTAACTAGCAATAAAGTGTCCATGCTCAAAAGGCTCTGATGACAAATATTCGGGAAAAGTGGTGGCGAATGTGGGGAAAAAATGTCCATTTTTTCTCTGAGTGTTGCTCTTTTTTTTGTGCCATCGCGCATGAAAGAGGGATTAAAGAGTGGAAAATTAATTGTAATTTAATAGAGATTTACATCTTGTGACGCTCATTTTACCTTCCGCGCAATTTTTCCCCTTTCCCACCACGAGACATTGTGACTTGGAACTCTTTTCTGTCTGAGGGGGGTGGGCGACTGTAAATGATATTAAAGCATCTCACCCTGTTCTGTGACACCCTCCAGGCACCGAAACTCTCCTGCAGGAGAGATAAATTGTTTAACTAGGAAATTATGTTTCACAGGGATGTTTTTATCAGTGAAACACCATTTCCCCCGACTTTAATATCAACCCTCTCTCTCTCTCTCACCCTCTCACGCCCAACGCAATTTTATACACCCTGACAGGAACATTGAGTGACTTCACGGCAGAGTTGAGGACAACTTTGCCGGAATGAGATTGAGAATTTGCCTCTGGGACACACTCGGAAGCTCAAAACTTTCAATTGAACTCTGGACAACGCCTGCAGACTCTCCACAGTAATTGCAATTAGATAAACTGATTGGCAATTTGGCCATGCATCTGGTTTGTGTCTGGCCTTCGTGTTGTTCACATTTCCATTCAAATTAATCACGAAAACCACTCATTACGTCTCCCATCGCAGATCTATCTTCTTAATCACACATATCAACTCTGTCTCGTGCGAGAGTGAAAGGGTTTTTTTTGTGTAGGAAGCGTGTTAGCTGCCGGGCAAAAAGCATAGATGGAATTATTGTGATTTTATGAAAACTATGCTCAGTGGTTTATAGTGTGGAGAGCGAAAAACGTGCCGCGCCGCACAAAGGAGAGTGGAAATATGTAATATTTACTTCTGTGCTCTTCAGTGTTGCGCTTTTGCATGGTAAAAAATGTATTTTACAATTAACAGTCTTTGATTTTTTAGATTCATTGGTTCATCAGCTTTCTAATGATGCCTTACTTGGCACACTAGACCCTTAATTTCTCCTTCTGGAACCTATTTTCCATTTTCCTCCACTTTGCCGCACATATGCGCTCATATCTCGCTCAATTTTCCACAGATTTCCCCCAAATTGAGCTCAAATGACAGATATTAAAATTATCTACAACTTTGTAAAACATTGTGGAAACTTAAAATCACTCCTTGTTGGTCAAAAACGATCTTTTGTGTGCCACTCGGTAAAAATTCGCCGTTTCTGTTTGCCACATTTTACTAAATAAGTCCAAAACGAAAAAACTTTTATGACAGATTATTTTTTCTATGTTTAGAGCACTTCTTGGGCTACATTTCTCTCATATATGCCAAAGCGATATTTCCTCTCCATCTGCCTGAAAAACAGGATTTTATCTCGACAAGTTTCGTGGTTCGAACAGACTATGTCTGGACTTCTATAAGTGAATATTCCAGATGATATAATAAGTAATTAATTAGTAATTTGCATGCCATGTTTGAAGCCATTCGGTCTAATCCTTAATCCCTTTGTGATACTAAAGCAGAATCTAAGCAGTAATCAATCGTCCAACTCAAATAGAGCCTCCTGAGTAACATTTAAATATGTTTTGGGTTCCTAATGAGGTTTGAATGAATACGAAGTGTCAATTTTAATTTACAATCTTCAAAGGATCGAACAGAGATTTTTCTGATGCACAAGACAGGATATTTAATCAAGGAAACAACCAAAAGGACTGCCTTTTCCTGAAAGCCCTGAAAGAGATTTTAGAGTGCCATTGATTGCGTTAAAAAGGACGAATTTTCAGATGTTTAGGTTGAATTCCGTGATCTTCGTTTCTAAGATGTATTAAGAATTGTTCGCTAAGCTCTCTTCAATCTCAAATAAAACCGTGAGTAGCATATTTCATGAGTTATACATGCAAAAGCCTGTCAAAAACAAATAAAAACGTCGTCTTCTCTATGAAGCTAAAACATTTGTCCCAAAAGAGTTCTGTCAGGAAAGGTTGAAAAATAGGTGAAGACGAACTTTGACAGAAATGATATGTTTTAGAGACTTGTAGACTGAGAAGTCATCTTTCTAAATCTGTGCCACTTTTGATAATCGAATGAGAATTTTGGAAAATGTGTGCAGATAAATGGTGAAAAGGAAAAGACGTTAAAATTCCGTTGAACTTCAAATTGAGTTTAAATCAAACAGATTTCCCTATTTTCCCATGAAAAGCATTTTTGCCATGAAGAAATGCATCCATTCCAGTTCAAATGTTAACAATCTGCCCAACACTGCGGAGCTCTTGACTTTGTAATCTAACAGCAGAGAATTGTGTGAATCCAACTCACGTAGTTTTGTATTTAATAAGCAGCAATCGCGACAGCGTTAGTCCGGCGTTGTGACATTTTGGGGGGAAAGATTGCACATCCATCTAATTTGTTGAATGCACTTTTGGGAGGGTGAGTTGGACCACAAGTTGCTGGAAAAGCTGGCAGCATAACTAATGCTGTCGGTCTCTTTTTCCCTTCGTGTTAAAGTTGTGTGTGGCAATTTGTGCTCAGCCTCAAACTCCTCAATTGCGAATGCATTTCATTGAACTCTCCCTGGGGGGTAAGTTTGCAGATTAGTCTTATTTTAAAATACAACTCCACACATGATACTCAAAACACAAGGGAATTTGCTGCTTCCTTTGGCGCACTGTGAAAAACTCTACTAATTGGATTATAGCTGGGGATTTTTTCCTCAACGACCTCTAATGCGATTTTCCTCTGCCAAAGTATTTGCATTTTTTTTTCCACCACACATCATTGTTACCAGTGGCAACTTTGCATTCTATGTGCTATTTTCCCGGAGTGGCTTAAGTGGTGGCGGTCTTTGAAATGTTGTTATATGAAAATTCCTGCAACGGTCTATCGGATGAATTTACATGCGACTTCTATCTGCATCGCATGACTTTTTAATTAATTCCCATCTACTTTTCATATTTTTACAGATGCTCAAGCGTGACAGATTACCTGAGGTGGGATCTTCTGACTAATTAACACTACACGAATGCGGGAAAGGATAGACATTGAGGTGAGTTGCCATTCTTTCTGCACACGCGAAAGCAGAAATATCTCTCTATGCATCCATTCGAGTGTCTTTTGCCAAGAACATGCTTGTCAAGAAGATGCACAGAAGCAATTAAGTGATGTTTGCAAATCCACAAAAGATCCGAGAAATTCTTCACAATTCCCGATATTTAAGTAAATATTTAAATATTAATTTTTCAATCAAAATTTGAGTCAAGAAATTTAAAAATTTATTAGTAAAGAAATTATTTTATTTTATTTTATTATCAATTTTAACAATGAGTTAATTTGGGTGGTTTAAATCCTCTACATAATCTATAAACCACTATAATTCCCAGCCAAACGTCTCTGGGGAAATACAGTCGGAATTTCTACATGTCTTTAGAGTTTATACTGCTGCCCTCTGGCGGCAATATGTGGAGAAAATAATCAAAATATTCAATGAATAATCGAATTAATGGAATTTTGTTTGAATAATCACAAATTTAATTGTCCAAAATCGCTAAATTCTTTGTCTTGTAAATGTCTCGAAAATTGAATGAAACATCGAATTTTTAACACCAAAATTGACCCAAAATTCCTTCGGTGTCCTAAACAAATTTGCACTACTGTGTATGCGAATTCCTTCGCCTCTCTATAGTGTGTCTCAATTAGTTGACTCTGAAATCCGCATAGAGAAAGGGTGGTTTTCAGGACACATCCATAATGCAGTGAGTGAATGTGCTGCGAATGCAAATGGTCATAGGCGGACAAATTACATCATCATCATCATCATCACGAAGAGAGCTCTCGGGCGCGCTGTATCTGTCCGAAAATAATAAATAATTGTGCAATGTTGTGATTTAAATGGGTAGATTTGGGAAAGAGGCGGAGACACAACCATGAGCGGATGGGGTGAATCGCGCGCTGAGGGTGCATAATACTCCCCAAGAGTCTAATGAATTATACAGCAGTGAATTGATTAATTTATTTGCCGGAGATTGCTGCATCACATCCGTGTCATCCACTCGCGCTGCCAGAGAGATCGAGTATCTCTGCCCATTCCGCTGTGCCGCACTAATGAATTATTAGTCGATTGTATCGAGAACAAAACAAATATTAACAATATTATTCTCGGTTAAATGGTTATGGGCAGAGAGAGAGAGAGAGGGTTTCAACTATTCATAAATTGATCGCCCACCCTTCCGGTCACCTTCTCACCCCGCCAGAAGCACGCATCGCACCACCAATTGACCTGCACACACACGCCGAATCTCCACACCCCTTCACCATCATCCCCCCGGGGGCTGGTCGACATGTTGTTTGCACAAGAAGTGGATTAGATGCAGCACAGTGTTGTTGAGCATCAGATGAGCATATAATTTGTGTTATTGTCTTCCGAGGCGAAAAACCCCCGCTTAACCCTGGAAAATCTCCTCACCGTGCACGGAAGTGCCGGCGAAATTGCATCGAGAGCCACAAAATCTAATACGAATAAATCACACATTTCCCCCTTGATTGCGGACCACGCCTTCTGGGCGCACTGAAATTTCGCTGAACAAGAACCAGAAAGCTCCTCTAGTTTTACTCACCTATGATTTTGAGGGGGCGGAGGGGGGAGAGGAAGTGCATAACCACATGTAGTGGTTGAAATACAAATTAACTGGCGGCCCAGAATGCGAAGGTGAATTTGCCGAGAGGATAAATAAAAAAAGAACCATGTGCAATTTGAATTTGAAAATCTTCGGAAATTTCGCCTTGATTGTCACTCAATTCATTTGCATAACTCATGTAGTCTTTTCCCCCGACAAACTCTCCAAAGCAAAGCACTCCGTTGGCAGAGGCTTTGAGTGACACAGTGGAAAGTGTTCAGCCCCAATTTGCATTCGCCCCACATGGTGAGATATCAATTTGCATGATTTAGAGAATATGTCATGGAGAGTTAAATTGCACTCTTTGAGCTTCTCTTTGCGTGCTTCTCCCTTTATTCTCCGACATCCTCGAACAATTGAGCATCGAAAGCGTCAAAAGGCCCTTTGAGGGTGCGATGAACTGCCACCCCCAAGTGGGGGGGTGGATGGAGTTAAAAAATAAATGTCACAGAGAGCCTCCTAATGAATTTAAAAGCGCCTTTTTTGCTCTCCTTCGCGCAGCAAAAGGGCTCTCGCTAGGCAATTTCAATTGGGTTGTGTGTCTATCTGTGCGAAAATGGTTAGTCATTGGCCGGGGTGTTGGCAGAAGGGCTAAAAAATTCAGAATAGACGCTTGGCAATTGAAGGTGAATGAATTGAATGGTCAGAAGCTCTATTTGTACATCCCTTTCGCCCATCACACTCGCTCTTTCCCACCCCCAATCTGTGTCAATACGAGGAGTTTGCGAGAAATTTCAATAACATTTCCGCTCCAGGCACCCCCTGACGAGGGATGAAGGAGGGTGTGAGTGGAGGAAAAAAAAACATGGTAATGGCTTTGATCACAAGGAAACTTTCTTGCGGTCAAAAGTTTCTCTCAACCATTGATTTACCCACGCTCTGGCAACATTTACACAAATTCAATTTGTCGGAATTCACTCTCTTTCACCAGTCATTTCACGATTTCTGGGGACAATTTGAGGAGTGCTATTTGCAAGGGAGCTTTCACCAGGCGCCTCCACTGCTACTTATATGCGTAATTTTGTATAATTCTGTGTATAACTTGACACTTGGCATGAATGTATTTTATTTTAATTATGTATGCAGTTCGTTGGGATCTTCTTCCACTTTTTTTTTGGCATCGTGACAAGTCATGCATATCGAGTGATTTTCCGTCTGTGTGGCAGTGCAGAAATTGTTCTCTGACCCAGGATATTGTGTTTTATAACCGCCTCTCCTCACACTTGGCGAATCATATGAAAGTTTTCTGTGCGAATCTGGCAGCCGGCAGTCATATATTGGATTTTATTCGCCACCCAAAACTTTATATCCCCCAATGGAGATTGTTTGTCTGGCTGGGACAGATTTTATTCGGGGTCGGGGGGTTGCAGAGAATAAAGATTGTTACAGGAAACACACAACACATGCTGCTGCTGCCTCTGCACTTTGATCCATTCCACCCGCACTTTTGCCCATAGGCTCCCATTCTTCCCTGTTCCCTCGCTGGCGCGGTATTGAATTCTAGCGCGGTAGAAGCTTCAAAGGACTCACGCCAGGAGCGCCGCGGGCTAAAAATCACGTGGCGCGGGAAACAAAAGGCATTTGTGATGTATTTCGGGTATGGCATAGCTTTAATAATCCTCCCCACATTTCGACAGCCCAACTATGTAATTCCGCACAAAAGGGGGCGAACAACTCAGGCAGAAAACTCGCACAAATGAGTGACATTTAAACTCAGAGTCCCCATTAATACCTGTTTCGTGAATTTGCGTTCTCAAGGAAATTATCACAGACTTGAAGCGTTTGGCTCTCAACTTAATCTGCAGAACATTCTCGCAAGACTTGACCACAATAGCTCCGCAAGGAGCAATGAAACAATGCACAGCTCTGATCCTCAAAAGCTCCACCTTGTCCGTCATGTTGCAGTGTTTTCCTGGCCATTATTTGCGCATTCAGAATCCTTCCTCGTCATCTTTGTTTCACCACCCCAGAAAACACAATAAATAATAACTCACTCGGCCTTTATTGTGGTCCTGGGAAAAGTTCTCTCTCTCTGACAGTGTGAGTGATATGAAAAACTGATGCAAGGTGGAGATATTATGGCGGAAAATGGTGTACAAAGAAATCTAGTCTTAATTAACGGGCGTTGCAACTTTGCTTTATGTTAATAAGCTGTCAAAAATATGAATTCGTAAAAATACGTTGCAAGATTACAATTCAAGGTAAGAAAAGCCGGTAAATTGACAATGATGATGTTTTGAATTGAGGTTATGTGTTTCCGGACATTCTTCAATCCTATCCGAGGAAAACTATGTTTTTATTTATGGACATTTTGGCCATTTATCACGTCTTAAAGATGTCTTGTCACTGGGATTCACTATTTCGTCCTGTTGAACTGATTCTTAGCGTTTGACAACTGAAATTCATATTAAATAAACTCCCAACTTAGCTTTGCAACACTTTCTCGTTCGTATTTCATTCGTGCTTCACACTAGCGCCGCCGGGCGGCCGTCAAAATAAGCTGTGAAAAGCATAAAATTCATTCTTAATTCTTAAGAAACTGAATTGATTAATTATTTATACTATTGGCGAAGCAACTAATGGAATGAATGAATGAAGAGTGACAGAAAATGGTGTACAGATTGTAGTCAAATAATCTCCCTCTTGAACTCGTGCTTCCTTCCACCCTGTCGCCCCTCGGGGTGGGACAATGTGGAAGCACTCTTGAGGTTTTTGTCAACTGTGGGTTTGTTATGTGGAAATATACTCAAAATTATGGCAGAAATGCCCTCAACAGCACGGCAGTCATAGTGCAAAAGTCAAGGTTGCTTTGAAGAATGAATTTCTGTCATTTGCTCTATTTGTTTAGTCACCCACCAAACCCACCCCTCAACCTCGGTGTGCTAATATAAAACATGACAAAATACGATGGTTCACCTTCCCCGCCCAGCAAACGATCATCGTTTTTCTTCCACCGACGAGGCGAAGGAGGAAAAAGGCCGCACTTTTTCATCTTCAGGTGAATGTTGGCAAAAGCCACCCTCATTCTTCAAGTGTACAAATCAACTTTCATTCCATCCCCACCAACTAAATACGCGTGTAACATTTTTCACCCACTCGGGGCGGCGCCGGGGGTGTGAGGGATTTGCATTTATTTGGATATAGCACTGCCTTCATGTGCGGTTTATTGATTCATGACGTTTTTTCAGCCGCCCTGAGCCTCGTGGTTTTTCCAACCCACCCCCCGCCTATACATGACGGATTTATGTACAGCCCGAGCGACGTGATATTTAAAGGATATAGAGACGAAATTCACTCTGGGGATTTGGGAGCTGAGAGCTGACGCGGTGGAGCTGGAAGTTAAACTTCATATAAAGACCTTCCCATGGAGCCC